GAATTTAAATTTACCATAGCTTTCTTGTTTCCATTATTTCAATTTGTTATCAACTTGATTAATTATAGCACACTAGCTTGTCATCGTTGAAGTCAAAGTTTAGCGTCAATAATGTTCGTACTTCTGCTCGATCTACCGTTACACAATTTGTAGGACGATCAAGAAATCGGTTTTGACGTACTGCCCCTTATCCAGAACAAAAATAAGATAGCTTCAACACAAAGCGTAACAAACTCCAACGTTGTGGCAGCATGTTTAAGCAAGCCGTAGCTTGTTACAACTGATATACTGTTGAGATTACGGCTTGGCCACGTATGTCTCTATGAGCTTACTTGCAAGATAAAGGCATGATTACAATGCTTGCTTCCACCACGGCTGCTTCGTACCGCCGGGACCTTCACCTGGTGTTTACCACAAGCAAAAATGCATTTTCGTTGCCGAGCGGGGGTTGTATCGATTTTTTTGTCTCTCAGGTCAGGCTTTCAATCTAGGCACTCTTTCAGATTACACACTAATCACGAATAGAGAAAAACGGCGCGCAACTTACACAGAACCGTTTAAAATAATTATATATATATATATATATATATATATATATATGTGCGTCAAATTCTTATGTGATCAAATAAATAGGTACTTACTTCAACATAACTACTATTAACGTATACCCTGCATTACCATGAATTTCCGTCATAAACAACATCAACATAAACATCCTGGCTGACTTAGGTATAACTCCACACCTTTTTCGAAATATAGTGCAAAAAAATCAAGTATATATATAATAACAGAAATTTAATTATAATTTGAAATGAGCGACATTTTAACTGAAATTTGTTTGGCATTAAAAGATTCATAGGCTGCTTTTAATTGGTTGCATACTCTTATTTAGTAGGCCCTGTCAGACTATTGTTTTGGCCTTTTAATAGAGGCTTCATACATTTTACATAGAAAAAAAAAACCTATAATACATTAAAAAGCCAGAATTAATACTGTGGATTGCTTAGAAAGATATCAGTATTCTCTGACTACTCGGGATCATGCAATAAATCCTTTGTTGTCTGGTCGCAGCGAGAATTTTAATGCTTGGGGATGAGTAGTACTATTCTTGGGTTTCTTTTGGGGCCTTCGTCAAAGTTATATTCATCCTATGCAAATCAGTTTACCGCAGTCATATGTTGGCATTTTATAGCAAAGCTCCAGTACGTTTTGTGTGCCTAGATTTGGCTGTAAACGCAATTAGTGTAGAATCGGACCCACAGTAAAAACTCGTATGTATTAACAGGATAGCCGACCAATAGATCGCAATCAGGGGTGCTTTAGGCTGAGCTTTATTAGCTTTAAGGATACGTAAGCAGTCACCATCCAACCTTAAGCATTAACGTGCAACACTCAGAGAATCTTTCCGTAGTATCCGTCGCACTGGTAGCTACGAAAAGAATCGAGTTGAGGGACGAGTGCGAAAATCAATCGTCTCGTCAGTCAAGATCCAGTTGTTCGGTTAATACCAGCGTCGTGTGGCATTGAGTGAAGACATATATCTGGAATAAAAACAGCACCAAGGATTTATCACTCAGTTCCCAAAGCTTAATCTTTAATTTGTTCTTTGTCAAGCTTCACGCGAAAAAAGTCGAGCAATGTTACCAAAAATACTAGCCGCACAGTCGTCGGCCATGAAGATTGTGTGGAGCAATACGCAACTTCATATGACAGAAAAATATCTTACCTGTAATACCGATTGCCTTCACTTAAAGGTATAATAACCAACCAAAATGGGCGGATCAAACGAGTTATTACATGTGCGTACGGGCCAATAACGCACCATTATTATAGTGTCGCTGCTGCTGTAAGCTTGAGTAAATCAATAAACACAAAAATATCGGTACAAAACCTGTTCCTGACGTACTAACAACTGAAGATCTTTAGACCAGATCGGGCGAGCCAGATGATTGTTTTGCGTGGGAGTTACCACATCGTGCACGTATGTAATTACACGACGTAAAAAAGGATAACTAGTTGCTTGTTCTGTCTTCACGTTTACCACTGCGTTAAAGAAACATTCCCTCGATTTTGTGGCACATTTCCAGATCAGAATTAGGACCCCATAAATCAATACAGGAAACAGGATATTCTTAAGGTTCAGTCAAAGCTAGGACTATATTAAGAGGCCAAGACTCATTTTAATTTACATACAGATATATTTTAAAATTATATATCAACCGTAAAAAATATGTGGAAGTTCTAATATTTTCTTTATAAGTATTTATTGATCGGACAAATATTTTTCAAAAGGACAAAAAGGTAAGATTTTACAGTATTTACACAATAACAATAAGCTTATTGCTTATAAAAATCCATCATCTTAAATGTATCCATATCCCGAAGTACAAATCGTAAATCTTATTTGATAATTAAATAACAAACACTTATTTCTTACAGCTCCCATATATTTAAATTAGAGATTTTAAATAACAATACTTAATAATCAAAGTAACGAGAAGCCAAACTTCTTATCCTTTTCGAATGCGGTAAGTTTCACTATTATCAAAAAAAATGTTTGGTTTTGAGCCATAGCGGATTTATTGAATGATATTTCGCGAAATTTGATCAGCCTACGTTAGCGATTCTAAAGTTTTGGTTTAGGCTGTTACAAGCGAATGCAGCGGACTTTGAAACTGGATGACTTTTGGGCTAGTTAGACTAACGTAATGATTTTTAATGTATCAGAGGTATTTTCTCTTATTCTTTACACACATGCCCCAACCTTTTGACCGTTCCTCTACGTAGGTACCATTTATATATGTAATTCCTGTACCTTTCTATGGTGTCTCAAAATAAATCGATAATGGAATATGTTTGTTCAGTAATTGCTCTTTTCAGGATATGAAAAGCTCCAATATCACATGGACTTAGATCGGGAGAATAATAGGATAAACGAAAATTTTAACTATTCTTTTACTCAATCCTGGAAGTATATCAAATAACCAGACTACGTCCCTTTGATCGTTGTGCTAACGGTCCATTAGTCTCTTGAAAAATTCGACATAGCGGGTTGCATTTATTGCTTCATTCTAGATGTGTACCTGGTAGTAGCATACGCCTCTGATATCCATTACAAGTGCTACTATTACCTAACGTGGGAAGTTCCTTTCCACACTTTATTTCAGTCCCGATCGAACTACACCCCGTCCATGGCAATCGTATGCTCCTGACAAGTTTTTTTTGTTGAACAAAGTTCTCTGTATCGCACGTGGAACACGCCACATGCGTTTCCACCTGACCTGGAGCCAATTCACAGAGGATTAGTTTTTTACCCAGTTTCCGTATTTTTAGTATTTAGGTTATAATTCTGTAACATGTTCAAAGCTTTGCTTCCATAAAAAGCCTCCATGATTGCAATGCGTCTTTGTCCTTTGAGTTTCGAAATCTAGCTAACTTCATTGGTTTTTAACACTCCGTTTTGAAACGTTTGCACATTCGCGTGCTGTGCTTTCACTTAAGGCCTTCTTGCCTAATGCCTTAGCCAACATTCCTTGAACCTTCGCAGCGCCGTGGCCTTCAAAAAACTTGATAACCGAGAATTGACGTTCAATACTATAAGATGATTTCTCTTCTGGATTGATTTTTCCTGTCAATTTTGCTAGTCTTCGCTCACAAATTTTTAGAACACTGGAGTTACCAGCTAAATATCGCAACGGCGTGCAGTTCAGAAGTTATTCAATTACAAAGCCGGATTCGCTTATAACAGTCTTATACGGTTCGACTGTATTCAACTTCACTTATCATATGATATAGTAGGCCGAAGATCAGCGTGGAATGAAGAAAAAGTTCGTACGGTGTACTTCCTTGGTTTCAATTAGACATCACCGAAATAAATACGTTAATTAGATCCGATTCCTATTAACTTAGATGAGCTGCTCGACCGCACCTGTAAGTCGATTTAGTTAAGAGCTCCGAATAGCCAGAATCTTCGTAGACAGCAACACAATTTACATCAGCCCGAAGGTCGATTGCAATAGCTTTTCATTGAAAACCTCCTGCGATGTTTAAATTGACTTTTCCTCGACTTTCACACAGCCTGATTACTATCCAGCAAGTAGTTGTACTCTTATATACGGGGAGAAACCTCATTTTGACTGCGGCCATCCAGATACATTTTTCTATTACATTTCAATGTGACGTGGAAACATCGGTGGCAAACAGTGATCAATCGAAGGTTCAAAAATAAGTTCTGAAGACAAGGTATTATTGGATGCCCAAGTATAGCCGCATGCCGCTTACGCTTGAAAACTATATTGAAAACTGACAATTTTACTCTTCTCGGGTATCAAGCGTAATCTGTTTTATAAAAGAAATCTGTGGACTATGACCCGTGGCTTTTATGGAAATTCTCAACCAAATAGTAGACTTCATATAAATTGTTTCACTTCCTTCAGTATAGAGGAGTATAAGCACAACGTTTGACTTTAATCCCTAGAAGGAAATGTGTATAGCAACTATGTAAATTGTCTAATCTTTCGAATTTCACGATGGCTGTTCCAGTGCTCATATTCTTTATGTCTACGGCGGGTACCATTATCCAACTAAAAAAAAAGCAGCGGCTTGGAAAAGTAAACCTTTAATGGAAGAGCTCGAGAGTTCTGGTTGAAGGCCTGCAACGCGAGGTATATTGGCAAGCCTTGATCTACGTATATACAAAAGTGAATATTCCTTCTTACAGTTCTGTTCTACATTTATCCAGATGTATACATAAAGACATTCGTAGAAGATGGAATAACAAACACATTAGCTCTTAGGGTTCAATTTCAATTCAGCCCAGAATATGAAGGTTTCCTGACGCTTCATTAGCATACTTAGTTCTTAACAATAAAACTGCTTGCATTGACTGAACGTACGAATCAAGCGATATAGATGAACTTGATGCTTGCATTTCATTCATATCTTATTCAAATACAGATTTGACTACAAAAAAAAACTACTCTATTTTATACTCAACAAGTAATACCTTTTTTATTTTCATGTCCATATGTAAACACTTTTACCGGATTTCCTTTCGAAGATTTGCTTTACTCGGCACTTTCCATCTATATCCTGTACTTTACCTAGTTTCCTTTGCTATATTATACATTGACCATAGCAGTTTATACTACTATGAAGTTTAGTAACTCAATGTGGCTGAGGCACATGACCGTCCACATAGAAATTCCGTGTCCCCATCGGCAGCTGGAGGCGGATTCCGTCCAGCTCTTTGGTTAAAATGACCTGACATCCTGCAAGTAAAGAAAATCCACACTTAGAGAAAATTTTCATCATCAGCTAAATTTCCGCATGTAAGAAAACAGGAAAAGAAATACGGTAATGCTGCCATTTACATTGAATCACTTACCTAACCTAGAGTTTTCCTTAAGGAAAGGAGCAAGATCCAGAAGATCATCTTCTCTGAAAGTAATAATCACGGTATTTAGCATGTATTAGTTATCAAAGATTTTATTAATCCACACATAGCGCATCTTGTATAGTACACATATTTTAACAGTAGCGACATGTTCCACTACGAATTTTTTCGGCCTGCGTACCTAAAGTACAGGGATGCAGGTCGTCAGCCCGAGATTCGCCTCTAATGATAAGGAAAAATTTGTTTCTTTTTTAAAATCTGAAAAATTCAACGGCAAAATGAGATGAAATCGCGCTCCCATGTTGAATACTATACAACATAGCTTACTTTTCCGTGGCCGCTGGAACTTTGTGGTAGAAGTCACCTAGCACGTAAACGTGACACGTTGTGCACGCCAGCGAAGCGTCGCAGGCGCCCTCCATTTCTATCCCATGCCGATGAGCCAGGTGCAAGAGATTGTCACCAACCTGTACCGAAAGTTGAGGTGTGGTCGAGATGCTGCCATTTTTTATGAGATAGATTTAACGATCGAACTAACTGTCCGCAATAACAACAAAACATTTCCTAATAAAATACCAACTGCCTATAAATCCATTAGGAATGGTGGGCATGGTAAAGGTCGATGCATGAAACTGTCAAACGCTAGATAAGTATCTCGTGAGCCTTTCAAAGGTATGTATAAATGCTCTATAAAAGTAAACAAACATTAAAAATCACGCGTATTTTGAAATCCAACAGAGAGACTCATAGAACACTGACCTTTCCTCGGACTTTGTGTTCGACGCCGTCTTTTGTAATGTATATGACGTTCACTCTGTTTTATAAATGGACAAAAATAGTCTAAATTAGATAGAATAACAATAATTATGATAATCTTACCTGCAAGATTAACTTTTGAAAACATTTAAAAAACCATTCCCAATTATAATAAGTATAATTTAAATTGATCTTACGTTTCTTCGTTTGATCCTACTAGATCTCGGTTTTCTGTTCGTTCGCTGGTTTCATCTGTGAATTATCAACATATGATGTAATTGCGCTTGATGTATGGTCTCTTATATGATTGATATTGACTGACAATAAGTATTTTTGTACGTACTTGTACAAGTTGTCAGCAAATTCATTAAATCAATCAACCAAATGTATCTTCGTTGTCATCATTCACTTTATTACATAT